CGCAGACCCTGCATGTCCTCGCCGTCGTCAAGGGCCCTTGCAAAATCCCCCCAATCTTGAACATGCTGAGCAATGTGCACAATAGTATGTACCCACGTGGTGAGCTGGTCGATTTCCTCGCGGGCAGCAGCGTGGGCAGCTCTTTCGCTCTCGAGTGCCGCCTCGAGATGCGAGTTCCTCTCTTCGACGGTTCTCTTTGCGTTGGCAATCTCCGCAAAAGAGGTCTGGTAGTCTTTGATTTTGGCTGACATCTCCTGGTAGCCGCCGCCCGCCCCGCCCCCCTTGCGTCCAGACTTGGTGCCTGCGTGTACCCTGTTGCCCCAGTTCGACTTCCCCGACCTGCGCTTCTTCTGCGGCCCCCCCGGGTGCACCTCGGCGGGTCTTCGGATCTATGGCAGGCGCCGAGGGCGCCGGGCGCCTGTCGGACTCAATGCATTTTTCTCTCTACGTCGTGACATGCGTGCTCCTTGGCCCACGCCTCTGGCGTGTACTTGCTGATGCGCGCTCCGTAGCGCACGCGCGTTGACGGGCTATGCCGCGTGAAGAAACATACAACAGAAAAAGACATGGCAACTGCCTGGCAGAAGCCGCGGGAGGGCATGCCAGGGGAGGTTGCGGGGGGGAAGGGGGAGAGAGGGGGGAGGGAGAAGGAGGGGAGGGCGAGGTCACTGGGGGAGGGGGGAATGGGGAGGAGGGAGGGGGGATAGGCAAGCGGGATGTGCAAGTGGAGTGGGGGGGGAGAGGGGAAGAAGGGGAGGGAATGAAATGGGAGAGGGGGCCATGCTCTCGATCATGGGAAGGCTCAAGGGAGCCCCAGCACGACACACAAACAATGGATCCGCCACCCCGCCGCCTGGCACGTCGACTGAGGCGCGGTAGATTGCCAGATGCTGCGCCCTCTCAAAGGCCCCCCCGACCCCGCCCCCCCACACACGCACACACAACTCATCGCACTCGGTTGCACGGGCGCCCCCTCCGAGAGCTTCTGGCCGCCCCAGCGCCTCCTCGGCACCCACCACAGCGCCCGGCAGGCCCAGAATGGCACGACAGATAAACCAGGCACGCCACGGCAGCCGCCGAAATGGCACAATCCCACCAACCCTTTAGGGCGCGAGTGGTCTAAGGAGCTCGTTCTGCTAACCCCCTTTCTTCCCCTTCGGACCCCCTCCCCCTCTACCCTCCCCCCCGGGCCTGGACGGGGCGCCCTGCGCGGCGTTGGAGCGCCCAAGATGGCCTAAGATTGCTCTAAGAGGGCCTCCAAGAGCTCAAGATGGCCTCTAAGGTCGAGGCAGATATCCCAAGATGGTTCAGGATGGTTTCGACGTGCTTCCGAGAGCTCTCAAGACCGCCCCTGGACGGCTCCAAGTGCCCTCAGAGCTCCCCAAGAAAGCACCCAAGAGGCCAGAATCCTTCCAATCCAATGTGTTTTTCAATGTGTTTGCATCATAGCCTTTTCGCGTCCGACGTTCTCTTAAGGCCTCAAGATGGCTCCAAGATGGCCCCTGCGGGCCCCAAGAGGGGCCCAGGAGGGCTCCAATACAGCCCCAAGAGCGCCCAGGACCGCCCCGAGAGCGCGGCGGAACTTGCCGCAGGCAAATTGATCACGGTGCGTAGACCTCGAGCCCGGTTAAAAAAGGCCGGCGCAAATGGCGGCCCGTGTAGGACGGGTTGATGTTCTGCGGCACGCGTCGGCCACCACACTGATGATTGCCAGCCGCGGGAGGGCCAATCTACTGCAAAGGGGGCGGCCGTCATCGCGTGCGCCGTTGTCATGAATACCACGTAGACCACGTGCACGGCGACGTCCAGCAAGTAGACCACATGCAACGACGATGTCCAGCAAATAGACCACGTAGACCACGTGCGCGACGACGTCCAGCAAGTAGACCACGTGCACGACGACGTCCAGCAAGTAGACCACGTGCACGACGACGTCCAGCAAGTATAGACCACGTGCAACGACGACGTCCGGCAAGTAGACCACGTAGACCACGTGCACGACGACGTCCAGCAAGTAGACCAGATGCAACGACGATGTCCAGCAAATAGACCACGTAGACCACGTGCGCGACGACCTCCAGCAAGTAGACCACCTGCACGACGACGTCCGGCAAGTAGACCACGTGCACGACGACGTCCAGCAAGTATAGACCACGTGCAACGACGACGTCCGGCAAGTAGACCACGTAGACCACGTGCACGACGACGTCCAGCAAGTAGACCAGATGCAACGACGATGTCCAGCAAATAGACCACGTAGACCACGTGCGCGACGACCTCCAGCAAGTAGACCACGTGCACGACGACGTCCGGCAAGTAGACCACGTGCACGACAACGCCCAGCAAGTATAGACCACGTGCAATGACGACGTCCGCCAAGTAGACCACGTAGAACATGTGCACGACGACGTCCGGCAAGTATACCGTTTGCACGACGACGTCGTGCAAGTAGGTCACGTGCATGACGACGTCCAGCAAGTAGACCACGAAGACCACGAAAACCATGTAGACCACGCGCACGACGACGTAGACCACGTGCACGACGGGCTCCAGCAAGTAGACCACGTGCACGACCGCGTCCACGAAGCGGCCGCTGACGGCCTCCCGGGCTGTCCTTCTATGCAAGTACACCACGTGCACGACGACGTCCATGCAGGGGCCGCTGGTACGCATTGGTAGACCGCCTACACGACGTCCTTGGGGGGAACAGAGCGAGGCTTGAGCCAAAAACTACGGAACTGACAACGGTCTCACGCGCACGTCTGCGAGCGCTTTCGGGCCCCCTCGGATTCCACCCCCTCCGATTCCCCCCGCATGTTCTGAATTGCGCGCGTCCTCTTGTACCATCGCATATGTGCACCAGCAAGGGGGCAGAGAGTGTCCTCCGGTGGCGCCTACCTCGTGCCAGGGTGAAGCGGGGGTGCGCCTCAGAGCCGGGCCATTTATAATGCGCAAAGCTTTCGAAAGGCTTTCGGTGCAGCTCAATCGGCTGGAGATCATTAAACTTCAGTTCGGGCATGGGCGCCTCAGCATTCTCGGGATCCGAGAGCCCCCCAAAGAGCAGGGCGCCCAAGAGGACAGGAGGACCCAGAAAGGCCCCCTCGACAATGGGAGGAGGGGGGGGGAGGAGGAGGACGTTAAGACCGAGGGCACCTTTAACACATATTGTTTGCCCCCCTCGGTATCCTTTCTCGAAGGGGGGGGGGGCGCAGTCAAAGCCATTGATGGCCCCCCTGGAACGCCTCCAGCCTCGGTTGAGCAGGCATGCATTAAAGCTCCCACCCGCTGGGAGTGGCTGCAGGGGGCTGGGACTGACTTGTTCCTCCTGGCCTTCCTCTTCCCCCCCCCTCGTCCTCCTCTTCCTCCTCCTCCTCCCCCTCCTCATCCTCCTCGTCCTCTTCCTTCCCCCCCCCCCCCTCTCCATCCTCCTCCTCATCCTCCTCCGCGCGCCGGGGCCGCTCTGAGCTGGCGGCCCGGGCCGCTGACGCCGACTTCCTCGCGACGGCCTGCGGCGAGCTCGTTGCTGGGGCCGCAGGGCTGCCTGGGGAACCATTGCCCGGACTCCGCCTGGATCCCCTGCGGCTGGGGGTGGCGGAAGCGGCGGGTTGGCGCTTCTTGGCGGGCATTGCTGGCACTGGGCCACGCGCCAGAGAGACTCGAGCTGTAACTCTGATAACATGTGCAGATTATGATGTGTGAGCAATAAGAAGCTCCTCGGCTAAAAAACGAAAGCGATGGAGATATGTGCAGCTTGCCAGCTCTCTGGCTGTAGGTGGTTTAGCGCATTCTTTGCGGTTTCTTCCAAAGCCCCCTTTCGGCATGTAGCTCGGGCAAACAAGATGGCCCACGAATGTTCAAAGGAGGCCTCAGTGGGCGCAAGATGACATCCAAGATGGTCCAAGGTAGCCGAGCAATCCCCCTAATGGTTTCACGTCTGTCCCCCCCCTGTGTGGTTTCATGTGTGTCGTTCCTCGTGGTTGCACGTGTGTCCCCCGTAGTGGTTTCACGTCTGTCCCCTCGTGCGTGGCTTCGCGCGTGTCCTCCCTCATGGTTGCACGTCTGTTCCCCCGTTATAGTGGTTTCACGTCTGTCCCCCTGTGCTGTTTCGCGCGTGCCCTCCCTCATGGTTGCACGTCTGCCCCCCATTAGTGGTTTCACGTCTGTCCCCCCCTATGGTTTCGCGCGTGTCCTCCCTCACGGTTGCACGTCAACCCCCACTAGTGGCTTCACGTCTGTCCCCCTGTGCGGTTTCGCGCGTGCCCCCCCCTCATGGTTGCACGTCTGCCCCCCCCCTCATGGTTTCACGGCTGACCCCCCCCCCCTATGGTGTCGCAGGTGTCCTCCCTCATGGTTGCACGTCTGTGCACGATGATTTCCCTCAGAGGTCCCCCGGCCCTCCGAGAGCCCGTAACAAGCATAAGAGCGCCCCAAAAGGATCCGCGAGGACCCCCAGAGAGCCCCACGATGGCTTCAACCGACATCCGAGAACCTTTCGCGACACATATCCGCGAGTTACTTCTGGATGGGCTGGTGGGGATACGCGAAGCGTCAAGAATTGTGATGAATGCGGGATGGCCCCCCTCGCTGGCACGGCGGCGGGGTTTGCCGCAGCCGGCTGGGCACGTGCAAGGAAGCGCCGATTCGGGGGGCATCGCGACGTGATCCCACAGAGACCGATCCATTCTCAAGAAGGGCGCCGTTGCGGGAACGGCGCCCTCCGCGCACAGGCGGACGAGGGAAGGCGATTGGGATGATGGGGGAAGGAGGCGAACGCGGACGAGGAGGGATGGGGGAACGAGGGACGGGGCATGAGGAACTGGGAGAAACTGGAATGGATGGTCTCAGAAACAGGCAGAAACACGAGGACGGGAAGGAAAGAGGGAGTCAAGGACCCCCTGGGCCCGATGCGAAATACAATCTCATCTTCTCGCAACCGAAGAAAGTTAATACATCCTCTGGCGTGTATGTTTGTCCCCATGCGCTATCCTGCAGACGGCCCCTCAATCGGAAGTGGAAGAGTTGCCATCGGAGCTTGGGCCCGAGCTGGAAGCAAGCGCGTCCAGTAAGTGTTCGGGTATTGGATGGTCATCTGCCTGTTCCAGCTCCATGTAGGGAGGGTGGTCTTTCAAAGCCATGTGGGCGGCGGTGCCCCCCTCGCACAAGCCGCGAATGCACCACTCCTTCAAGAGTCTCTCTGTCATCTGTGGGCCTCCGTGAGCTGCGAAGTGTCGGCGCCGCCTGCACTTGCTCTGGTCATGGTCGGGGTGGTAGCAGAAGACCTCCCAGCCCGCCTGTTGGCCGGTTGTCCTGTTCCAGTGCGGAGTAAACTGAAACATCTGACGCCACCTGAAGCCCGAGACGTCGTGGTCGGGATCGGCAATCACGGCGGCAGCAGCGCCGCTGCTAGCCGCTGCGCCAGCGCCGCTGCTAGCCGCTGCGCCAGCACCAGCGGCCCCGCCAGGCCCGCCCGAAGCGCCACTGGCCTCGGCCGCAGGGCCCTCGGCGGGGTCGTCCATGGAGAAATCCATTTCCTCCAGCATCTTGCCCAAGGAATCCGCCGAGCGGCGAACTGCCAGCCGGCGCGTGCAATCTGAAGACGGACCTTGGTGGACCCGAGTGCCGCCACGCGCGGCCGAAGGGCGCGACCTCGCGCGACACTTGCGCGGGCAACCAGCGGGCAACATACTGGCGGCAGGGCAAGTAACAAGATAAACTCGGTCGTCGGCGGAACCTGCGACAGCACACATATCGATCGAGTCCTCATCGTGCGGGAGCATATCCAACAGACTGGGGTGATCGGAAACATCGGATGTCTCAAGATCAAGCGCCAACGCTGCCCCTGGAATTTCCACGGCCCGCCGCCGCCGGCCGCCCCTGCAAGGGCCCCGGGCGGCCCCGCGGCCCCGTGCAGCGGCGGGCACTGGCGGTGCAAGCGCGGCTAAACCCTCGCGCGCTGGCTCTATGCAGAATGGCCCGCACTGCCGACGCGGCTTCGGAACGTACGCCTTGCCCTGCAAGATGCACTTGTAATAAGCCGGTGCCCGGAAAGCCTGCACGGGCTGTTTGTGGTCGGCAGCTGTCAAGAGCGCCCGCAGATACAAAGGTTGCAGCGATGTTTGGGCGTCCTTCAAATACCAAGTCTTGGACTGGCCGACGACGTAAGGAACGGCATCTTTGGAACGTGCGCACAGCTCGCAAACCCAGCCCTCGGAATCCATCATCATCAACAACTCGAAATAAGATCGGTCTTGCAAGGGCACCCCCGGCCGCGGCGTCCTCAGAAAACGGACGGGCTTGATATTATGCGCCATTTGAAACGTCTGCAAACCGAACTCGGTAAACTGATAGGTCACCTCGTTTGCGGATGTGCGTGTCGAAGAAAGCCTGTTGTGTTGTTCAAATACCCGCTGCTCAAGCGAATGGAGCGCCCGGCATATGCTTTGATGCGAGCTGGAGCGCGAGGCCGTCCAAGGCATGATGACGTCTGTCACCGCGCAGAGCCAGGGCTCGAATATATTGCACCAGAGCCGCGATCGAGCAGCCCCGCATTGGCACGACGGGCCGCGTCGGGCCACGAGGAGGATGCCTGCTCCACGCCCCATGGGTTTTCATGCCCTTCCATGCGGGTGCAGGCGGTCACGGCGAAGCCGACGCATCCGCCCAACCTCCATCATATCGGGCCCATACTCCCCAGACGCATCCAAGACAAATTGACCACCCTCCAAACGCCTCGCATTCAACGCCGACTGGAGCAATAATTGGCCAGCCTGCGACTGCGCAACTGGAACGGACACGCCTTGGAAATAATAATGCAAAGCGCTTGCGGGCTGCCAGGCACAGAGAGTCCTGATGTCCGGGCGCGCAAGGAAATTCGACGACAGCACCATCAAGCCGTCGGCATCGGCGCCTTGGCCATCGCGGGGGGCCGAAAAACACGCGAACAAACGAGCCCTCTGCCCATCCGTGCCCCACTCCCCATCCGCCTCAATCCTCGGTGGGGAATGTGGCAGGGAAGAGGGGCGCTCATATGCGGGTGTTTGGGCCCCCCCATCGTCCATCTCTAAAGCGACGCGGACAATTTTGGCCGCCTTGTTATATTCAACTAAAGGGCACTCCCTGATATAAAGCAGAGCACCTGAGCCAGCATCTGCGTTGGCAGCTCTGAGACGCTTTGCGCCGGGCGGCAACTTCACGCACTCAGGGGTGGCACGCTGCGCGGTAAAGAAGAATAGATTCTTGCGGCCAGCGGGCTGCGCCGGCGCATCCAGGATCTCGCAGGGAGGCGGGGGCACGGGCTCGAGCTCGAATCTGCCCGCTGGCAGCAAAGGGGCGACCTGCCCACACTACCCATTATCCAAGCGACCATTGTCGTGGGAAGACACGAAAAGGCTCTGCCCCTGAACAGGTCACCGCGAATGCCAATCCAAGTGCGTACATTCAGCGACGCCTGCGCAAAAGACAAACTTACTTGCGTCTGGCATATAATGCTAGTTTTGCCCGCGTGCCCTCACTGCCCTCCAGTCTGGCACCGCGCCTGCCTGCCCCCACCCCCCCCCCCGCGACCGGCTGGGGCCCATTCTTCCGGCAAGGATCGAACACATCCGCCAAGTACGATGTGAACACGTCTGGAGCAGTAGTCAAGAAAGGGCCAAATGAAAATACCGCCTTCTCATACTCGGGCTCGTTCGTCAACATCTTCAAATACTGCACAGCTGCAATGCCCATTACACGAGACAACACCTGCCCGCAAGCGTCTATGGCTCCAGCTGGCGGCTCTTCGGCAAGCGGCGCCGCCTCCACCTGCCCCTACCCCTCTGGGATATGGGAGCGGGAACTTTCAGACAAGAGTGGTGCACAGACGGGGTGAGAACTGTCAAAAAATAAAAAACACTGCGTGAAACAAAGAACAATTGCACAGACCCTTGCAATGCCCTGCGAAGACCCCCGCAATGACCCTGCGAAGACCTTGCAACGAAACCAAATAACAAACATCATGCAATGTTGGTCAAACGGCCCTGCAAACGGCCCTGCAACGTCTTGCAAACCACCTGGCAATGTCCGTCCGTGCCGATCGGAATTACAGGGGGTCCTTATAGCAATCATGCGCAAAAGGGAAAACCCGAACCTGCCATGACGACGTGTGGCCCGTTTTTTCGCCGCCCGCGGACCAGGAAAGCAAAACGAGGGAGCCGAACGATTCACCCGAGGATGAAGACGGGCGGGGGGCCGAACGATCCCCCGAAGGAGGACGAGGTGGGCGGGGGGCGCCGCGGGAAACCCCCTGAGGACGAGGGGGCAGGAAGAGGAGGGAAAAAACCTAGGGACTCACCTGGTGAGTCGTTCGTTTCCCTCCCCGCCCCAAGCTCCTCTGTCCTCCCTACACTCTGTTGAGTCGTTCGTTTCCCTCCCCGTCCCACCCTCCTCTGTCCTCCCCGTCCTGGGGGGATTCGTTGGGTACCTCCACGGGGGGGGCTTCTCGGGGCCCTCTTGAACCCATTGGGGGATCTTCCTCTGGCCCCGGAGACGGCCAGGAAAAGCCCAGGCAGCCGCACGAGAGCTCAACGAGGGCATGGAGCTCCTGCGCGCTGGAGCTCGAGAGGGAATCGCCCGAAGTATTACCATACAGACCACGAGAAAGGTGCCTCGTTCCCTGCCCTCCCTGCCCGAGACGCCTCACCCGGCTCGGCCGCATCCGTGGCTGCATCATCTTCCACGCCCTCTAACGCCACCATCTCGTCTATCACCGCGCCCGCGGCACTGGGTTCCGCAGCTTGGTCCGCCAGCGGGCCCGCTGCTGGCGGCGGGGGCCGTGGAGGAGGCGGTGGAGGCGGCTCGTTTGGGGGTAACGGCTGGAAAAGCGTGCCCCCGTCCACGTGAAATGCGCCAGCCCCCCCATGCGGGGCCTCCAGGCTTCTGGCGGCTAGCGGTTTCTGAGGCGCGTTGTCTGGGAGGGATCTGAACGTTAGAGGCCCGCCTAGAAACAGAAACCACGGTTTCCAGCAAAACGTATGTCCTGCGAAAGCGGCCGAAACTCGGGGCGGAAATTCGGGCAGTTATTCGCCAGAGCAACATGGCGAGGACGAGGAGGAGGAAGGAAACCCACGAAATGGGGAGCTGAACCATGTGCCCGAAAAGCGGCCATGGCCCCGGACTCGGGCAAACCCTTGAGAATCGGGCAAACCCAGAAATGACGATAGTGGAGTTTGGGGCAAACACATATTGGAGTATCGGGCAAACCCAGAAAAAAAGAATTGGAGTGGCGAAGGACCCAACCATATGCAGTTGTAAGTAACGCAATTGTGAATGTCATCTTCGGTGGAGCTCCCTTCGGTTTTTCTTCCCCCTGCGCACCGCTGTGGTTCACATTTACGCGGGCGCGAATGTGCAATGTTCCGCTCGTACAGTGTCAGGCGTGCCGAAGTGGGTGCGGGGGGCGCATGTGGACGGGGCGATGAAGCCTTCGATCGTCGTCGTCGTCGTCGTGGTCCTGGTCGTGGACGTGGTCGTGGTCGTGGTCGGGGTCGCGGTCGTGGTCGCGGTCGTCGTCGTCGTCGTCGTCGTCGTCGTCGTCGTCGTCGTCGTCGTCGTCGTCGTCGTCGTCGTCGGCTGGTTACGGACGGCCGGGCGGACGACCGGCCGGAAAGTTCGAACTTTCCGGTTGGTCGGCCGCCCCGCCATCGTCGTCGTCATCGTCATCATCGTCATCATCATGGTCGACGCCCGGGCGGACGACCGACCAGGAAATTCGAACTTTCCGGTTGGTCGGCCGCCCCGCCGTCGTCGTCGTCATCGTCATCATCGTCATCATGGTCGACGGCCGAGCGGACGACAGACCAGAAAGTTCGAACTTTCCGGTTAGTCGGCCGCCCCGCCGTCGTCGTCGTCGTCATCGTCATCATCGTCATCATCGTGGTCGACGGCCGCTGAAATTACTTCTAATGACCGCCCCGGCTGAGCCTCGTCGTCATCGTCGTCGTCATCCTCCTCCTCCTCCTCGTCCTCGTCGTCGTCGTCGTCGTGTTCGTCGTCGTCGTCGTCGTGTTCGTCTCTGTTCTTGGGACACCCCACACCGCCATTCTCCGCCTCGCCTCCACCACGCCCCGCCGTCGTCGTCGTCATCGGCCACGACAACGTTCGACCACGCCCTGTCGTCGTTATCAAATTGAACGCCCTGGTGTCTACACGTGCGCTCATGCTACCTAACAACCAAAAGTACCACACGCAGTGCGGTACTTTTCTGTGGTGTCCCCGGGGCGCGGGCAGCCAAAAGTACCACGCGCAGTGTGGTACTTTTCTGTGGTGTCCTCGGGGCGCGGGATACTCCCAGTTAAGATGGTGGCCATGGTGTTGATGCTGATGACGATGATGATGATGCTTATGATGACGACGACGAGGATGATAGGAGGATAAAGGAGGGGGAGGAGCAAAAAGGAGGAGGAACGCGGGGGCACCGTCCTTTCAAAACGAGGACCCAACACCACAGGATGATAGGGAATTATTTGAATATCGGACAAACCAAGAAAAGAGATAGGGCAAACCCAGAAAAGAGCTGCTAGAGCACCGGGCAAACCCAGTAAAGAGATTTTGGGGTATCGGGCCAATCCAGAATACAGATACTGGGGCATCGGGCAAACCCCAAAAAGCGATATCTGGAGTGTCGGGCAAAGCCATATTGGAGTATCGGGCAAATCCAGACAAGAGCTATTGGAGTATGGGGCAAACCCATAAGTCAGCAGGCGGACTCAAAAGCTTGAAACGGGGACAGACAAGTTGAAATAAGATGTTGCTCGAAGCCCTTTTGGAGCCGTCTCGGGGCCCTCTTGGGCCCTCACTCTGATCCGCAATTGCGGGGGCCACGTATCATCCAGACCCGCTACAAATGCAGCGAAGGCCGTGGGATGGCACGAGCGAAGCTCCATGACATAGCACCTTGACAACATCAGGACGGAGAGAGCGGTTCAACTCTCGAAGACTTGATCGCGCGAGGAGCTCTTGGATCCCGGGGTGCCCATACAAGCCCATTTTGCGCACGACAGTGTTCGCTGTCTTGGCCTGGGCGCAGCATTCTGCGAGTGTCTTGAAGGACCCCTGGAAAGCAGCATTGAGAATAATATCCTTCACTTGCGGCAATACAAAACGAAAGCCAAGATGCAGAGCTGTGGCGTTAGGGGCGTTGACAAAGAACCTCTTCGCCAATGCGTGCCTCGATTCGATCCACCTTTCCACGACGAAGGGGAAAAACATTCTGGCCGCGAGCGGCTCTAGCACTGCCAAGCCTTCCCTCGAACTGCCCGAAATGAAAGACTCCATGTCTGCATGCCCAGGGGTCCCAGGAATACACAACAGACGGACAAGCCAGTGCTGCGTGGCCTCTTCCCCTGATATCTCGTACAACCTGAGGGACTTGACGGCGCAAGCGCGGGCCGTTTGCTCATCGGGATGCGCACTTCCGAATAAGGACCACGGCAATTGATTCCAATATGCGGACTTGGCCGTAAAATCCGCCTGCCCGCCAGTTGCGGGCAAAGGTGTCGTAAAAGAGCCCTGTCTGAACATATAGTTCATTGTTCTTCTCTCTCTCTCTCTGTCAGTTCTCTCTCTCGTTCTCTCACTATCCCTCGCGCTCTCTATGGAAAACGCCTCCTCCACCTGCATCCCCAGACAGGCTAACCCATGCAGGGATGCCCCCGAAAGGCTAACCACTTGAGAACGCATGCTGAAAAAAGGTGCATGCCCAGGGCGGCATCGGACTGCGGTGGTAGTGCGACTATTGATGCGTCAGGGCACGAGGAAAACGGACGCTTAAGCACACAAGGAAAACGGGCGCTTAAGGACACGAGGAGAACTGGCGCTTAAGGGCACGAGGAAAACAAACGCTTAAGGACACGACGAAAACGGACGCTTAAGGACACGAGGAAAACGAACGTTTAAGGACTCTTCGTTCTCTCGCTATCTGTCACTCTCTCTCTATGGAGAACGCCTCTTCCACCTACATCCCCAGACAGGCGAACCCATGCAGGCCGAAAGGTCTAGTGGGCGCACGCGCCCCTGAAGCCCTGGAAAACAATACATTCACATGTTCCAATAATATTCGGGAAGGGGGGGGCGGGGGGGGCGACAGCCATCGCATAGAACACTACGTGGCGGCGGGCCCGTGCAAAATCCGCCATGACCAAACCTTTCTCAACTTCGTTCAGAGCCAACACGTGCGGGTCCAGCAATCCGCCGGTTCCTTGCAAGGCCGCCAGGCTGCGAAACGCGCTTCCACGCATAACCCATTGAGGTTAGCTCACAAAGTCGCCAAACTTCCGTGAAGCTGGGTTCTCATCCAACCAACCAGCCAACCAGCCGTCACTTGCAGAGTCAATTGCCAAACAGGGAAGGGAGGAAACCAACAACTGCTTCGCCACACAAAAAACGTCCAATCGCTTCAGGGAAGGGGCATGCGGAAGATGGCGTTGGCCTAGTAGACACATGTGTGTTCGCTTTGCACAACAACGAATTGATAAGTTCGGCCAATGCGCCGGCAGCCATTTCTGGGGCGCGGCACCCTTTCAAGGGACAATTATTTTTGGTATTATCACGCCCTCGGGCGCGCTTTCGCCTGGCATCCCATCTCGCGGGGCCCTGGACACGCGCGGGCTTCCAATGGCAAGAACATCCTTCTGCCCAGCCCTCTATGTGTTCGAACATTTCCATCACGACGTCCACCATCGTCAAATACCCCCAGAAGAATAATGATTTTATTGCTGCGTCGACTACATCAATTTTGACACGCTCTGTGTCTCTTTCATCTGGCTGGGAGCGGGCGAGCTTGAAACGTTCCACCGACCAACCGAACCGCAGCTCCCGCTCCACCCCCAAAGTGTGTCCCGCAGCACGCACAAAACTCCCCCACCGACCTTCGTAAACTCGAGCGTTGAAGTTGGTAAAAACATCTCGAAAATGAATGCCAGGCGGAGTGGCGAAACACGTCTCCATGAGACGCTGCCGATGAAAAGGCCGCGAAAGCATCAGACACACATGTTTCAACTGGTCCTCCAACTGTTTCCAACCAACTAGCACGTTCCTCATGTCCTCAATGCACCCGTGAATCTGGTGGAGAAGGCCGGCAATGTAGATCGTGCGTGTTAAATCTACGTAAGGTTCCGCCCCTGCTGCGCCGGCCGCGGCTGGGGCTGGCGACGGGGGCTGCTGCGGCGGCGGGGGTGGCACTGGCACCCTGCGGCCCCGCTGATGACATCACGCCAGGGAGCAGCCCGATGAGACGCCCGAGCAACACGCGATCGAAAACCCAATTGACACTCCATGGGCACCATGGGAGCCATCATTGGGCTCATGCGGTTCATATGGCCCCACAGGGCTCATACACCCGTAAAGTTCACAAGGCCCCCGGAGCTCTAATGAAATCATGAGGACCCAGGGGCCCATCAGGCACATAAGGCCCACGCCATCATGGGCTGATGGGGCCCTCTCGGGAACCCTCTCGAACGCCTCCTGGGACAGCTGGGGCCCTCCAAGCCCGACGTGGAGGATTTAAGCGGTTCACAATTTGGGGGCGCCCCGGGGCCCATCCGGGGCCCCCGTGAAGGTATAGGGGCGCCCCGGGGTTCCGGGAGCCCTCTGACGACCCTCGTACAGCCCGTTCGGGATGCCCTCGACGACCTCGGGGAACACTGGATGGCCCAAAGGACGTCCACAACCGCCCTCCAGAGAGATCCTGAAGGGCGCCCAGCGCCCGCTCCAGCGAGAACGGTCAACATGTTGTTCTGAACCATTGTGCCCCCTCCTGGGATAGCCACATTGGATAACTTCTGGGGCCATCTCGAAATTTCGGGGGTCGCAATTTTCGGCCTTGAGACAACCAAGCCAAATCCCTCCCCCCCGAGGAAGATGAGGAGGCTGTTGGGGGTTGGGGTGGAGAAAAGGGGAAGGAACTTGAATCGGTCCACTGGGATCGACGGCGTGGCCAGCAGCAACGCCGTGACGACAAGGGCCACTGGATTTACACTTGCACAAGGACCGTTCCGACGCAGAGATGACTTGTGGATCTCGCGAACACACGGACGTGGCCACTTTCCACCATCAATCGCAACTTTGGACATGCCGCTGCATACTTGGAGCCTGGAGCCAGTCTGGGCAGAATACGCCCCTACGCTTCCAATGTCGGTGAAAGCCCCGCTAATGTAGGAAGCACGATGCAGGCGCGGCGACAGATGAAGAAAGGGAGAAGGATAGAGAGAGTGCGCGCGTGCGTGAGGGGGAAGGAAAGAGAGAGAGAGAGAGAGAGAGAGAGAAAGAAACAACAAAAATAAACGCCAACCGCAGCAGGCGTGCTACCTGCCCTGCCCCCCTTGTCCTGTCATCATCGGCGGGCACAATGTTAAATGCGACTGGGGCTTGCGCCGGCGCTGGAGCCTGCAGCGCAGAGGGGGCCGTGTGCATCGTCCATGGGCTGTCGAATCATTCGTTGAATGTTTCCACCAACACCCAGCCCCCGGGGGAGGCCAGCAGGGGGGCACCTAGAACACTCACATGATATCCTTGGACCTGTTGATTCCCAAAAAGAGAAAATGCGGGGGCAAGAGACGGCACTGCTATCGCATCCGCAACATTTCCGCACCCCTCTGCATGCCCTCCCGTGAATCACATGGACACCGCTATGTTATTCGCTTCGTTCCCTGCCGGAAACGAACGACGACGACGACGACGACGACGACGACGACGACGACGACGACGACGACGACGACGACGACGACGACGACGACGGCAAACAACGACGACGACGACGCCGGCCTGCCTCGTGTTCTGCGTCCGCCCAAGGGCCCACGAACCGCGACAGCGGCGCTCGCACTTTGTTCAAGCGCGACTCCGTGCCAAGGTCTCCTGGCCAGGTGCCATTATCGAAAGCAGTCCCTGGCGCCCGGGGTGCGCGCACCTCCGGAACCCATTTGAGTGAGGAGAACATGTAATTTGCGCGAGACGAGGCGGCGACCGCACGCGGTAGGCCACGCGGGCAGGCGGGCAATGTAAGGTCGACCTTGCACTTGCAGCTTGCGCGCCAATGTCCGCGCAGAGAACCGTTTTTCGACAGAGTTCCTGTGTCGGGAACCCCATTTGAACGCGATTGATCCCAATACCTTTGGATGAGCTTACTGTCATTACTGACAAACCTCCGCTTCACCCTCACCCGCCTCCCTCGCGCATGCTCGGGTTCACTCGCACTCACACTCACCCAGACTCAGGCACGCCCAGGCTCACCTACACTCACTCACTCACACTCAGACTGACTCAGACTTAGACAGTTCACATTGAAACCGCGTCGTACTCAGACTCACTCACACTCAGACGCACTCATAATCAACAGCTGCAAGGTCACCAATTGCTCACATGCTGCGCCGTGGAACCCCGACTTGGACTCCCAGATGTCCAGCACGCCCGACTTATCCTTGTTCCTGCGATAATGCGTCTAATTCAATGACATCCCCTCTTGGAGCCTCTTGGAGCCATCTTGGGGGGCTCTTTGAGCCCTCCTGGAGCCCACAAAACACCGTCGTCGTCGTCTGAGGGAGTTTCTGCCCAACCCCGTGGGGGCAGAAATTCCCTCACTGTCTCTCGTCGTCGCCGTCGTCGTCGTCGTCGTCATCGTTGTCGTCGTCGTCGTCGTCGTCGCGGCCGTCATCGTCATCGTCAAACCACCCAGGGGATCTCCAAAACGGGCCGCGGATCTCCAAAACGGACCGCGGATCTCCAAAACGGGACGTGCGTCAGCCAGCCGCTCTTGCTGACGAGGCCCTGTGAACCGACGGATATCTGTAAGGGGCCTGGCCTGGGCCAAGTATGGGGCCAGCCACATGGGGTCTAGGCCTGGTGGCCAGCGGGGGCCTCCTGGGGCCTTTATGGTGAGCCCCTGCGTCCGTTCGCCTGCTCTCCCTCCTCATCCGCATCCCCCTGCCTCTCCTCCTGCATCCTCACCCCCCTCTCCCCGACGCGCTCGCCATCAGCGACGGGAGGCGGATAGGGGAGAGCAAGACAAAAGTCCCCAAGAGGCCCCGAGGGATAGCTTTTCAGGGAGCCTGGATTAAGTAGTGGGGGTCACATAAATGGGATATGGGCCTCGCGGGGGCCACTTGCATGGAACCCTGGCAACTCATAGGTCACCCGAACGTGCTCTTGGCCTGGCGGGGCCTCCTGCATAGAACCTGGGCCTAGTATGGGGTCACCTGAATGGGGTCTGGGCCCCGCGAGGGTCATCGCTTTTGGAGCCCAGACCACGTGTGGGTCACATAAACGAGGTATGGACCGGAGGTGCAACGCGGAAGGGGTCAAATAGGCACGCGATTACCTTTCGGCACACGCGCTTAGTGGCCCCATAGGGAACCCCGCCGAAGGCCCCAATGGTAGGCCTCCCCGGCAGCACCGCCCTCTGGTTTGCGTTTCGGGCGGTTTGGATTCCATTGCTTTCAGAGCAGCTTGTGGGGATGCTTCGAACGAGGCCCCGGGCTCAGCATCCGAAGCGGGTATAATCACTCGGACTCAAGCGCGCAGACAATCGGAGCCAGACAATCACAATGGCACGTGACAGGGCAAAGGACATACATATATGGGGATTTCAAGCCGTTTGGGAAACCAATAACCACTGAAGCGAACCCCACCCGGGAATAGTTCGAGCTGCTCGTAATGGTCGGCAGCCAGTGCGCCGTGATCCCAGCAACGCTCGTGACGGTGAAACCTGACGCGCGCCGCCACGATCACTGATGCTTGCCGCGGCTGCCACGGGCCTCCCCCGCCCCCCGAGCCCCCCCTCCTCGCGAGCAATCCGAAGATTCGTGACGCCTCAGACTCTGAAACCGCATATGGGGCACCACGCGTGATAAAGCGAATGCGCACCTCGGTGGCTCACGCGGGCCGCAATCGCGGAAATCCGCCTGAGAATGACGGCGCTCACGCGCGACCTTCCGCGAGCAGCTTTCGCGCGAATGTCCGAAAAAATTAACCCTTAATATCACGCGTTGCAAATATGTTGCCGATCCCTGCGAGGCGGCTGCCCGGGAGGGCCAGGGAGCGGACGACGCAAAAAAGTAATGGCCAATCGAAGGCCGACAGGTGCCCCCTCGGCAAGCACGGCGCCATGGAACCATGGGGGCACCGCGTGCGCATGCGACCACCCCCTGCCATTCGTGACCCTGAATCCTGTGAGCGTGAACATGGAGTTTGAAAGCGAACACGCTGCTCGCCAACTGGGCGCAGTCAGCCGCTCGCCATGCAACATTGCGTGCGCCTTGTACCTGACGTCTGCTCTGCCCGAGCCTACTGCGGTGGGCATGTTAAGGCGGAGTTTGAAAACTGCTCGCAATTCATCCATGCATTCTTCGCCAGCATCAATGTCGCCATCACCCGCGAGCCTCTGGAGTCTCAGGCCGATCCGGAACAAACGCACCACGTCGCCAGAATTGATTGTGCAATGGCCGTGCATAACCCAATCCCAACCGGCCTGCGGGCTGCTGTCAACCGTACTCCAACGAACAATTTCCCCCAAATTTAACATGTCCGCCAGCCCGTTTGAGGGCACGGCGCGAGCGATAGCATTCCTACTGGATTCGTGGGGCACGGCCCAAGGTCGTGCATCTGACAAAGGGGGCTCATAGCAGGTGTCCCTGGGTTCCGAAGGCCTCCCGACGCAACCACAATGATAAACATGCGAAGCCAACGCGCCATGTGGCCGCAAACGAGGCCCCAGCGCACCTCGACGAGATCATGTCGAAGTCCGTGCGACAAGACACCCCTATATCTGCCGTAACTTGTTTGTTTGGTTTATGGCTCGCGTCCAATTTGAGGCCGCCTCCAGCACCCAACTCGCGCCAAAGGGCCTGGAAGAACGTGGCGGGCCCCGTGGCCACCCCCGATGGTGTTTGGCTGACACCAATGCTGTGGCTGAGCTGAGATGGTGCGGCCCCTTTGGTGTCACGCGCTGGTCCCCCCCTCCCACTCCTCATTCCATCTGTCGTCGAAGCTTCCTTCCTCCTCTGCCTCCCCCAATTGACTCGCCCCTGCAAGCCCCTCGCGCCTGGCGTTGTCAAGTGGCGCCCGCGCGGGCCCACCCCTCTTTCAACAACGCCGCGTCGGCGGATTTGGCGACAGCCCTGCGAAGATTCGGTTGTCCTTTGTAAATCCGCCACCGTGCTCCGAAACACGAAGTCACATGTCTTCAACTCCCTTCGGATTATCTTTATTGGCACGGACAGCGGTATTCCGGGCGCTGGAGCCCGCTCGAGTGCTACAAGGCGCTTTCTGACGCGCCCAAATTGACTTGTCCACAAACCACGGAATGCCGGGTCCCAAGATTGTCCGAAAACTGCCCGCGAGGGCCCCTGATCGGCCCATGGGCACTCCAAAACGTTCCAAGATCGTCTGAGCATTGCCCACTAGGACCCCGAGGCGGCCCAATGGGAACCTCAAGGTGGCCCCCAGAAAAGGGCCTCAAGCCTCAATGGGGCAACGATCTTTTTTTGTATCTCAGCGATTGGGCATTTGTTGTGCGATGCTTTCGATGGGGCCCCATGGCATTCCCCAGCCGAGCAACCCCCCAAAACAACTCTTACAAGGCGGCAGAGGAACACAAAACGGCCAAAGAGGCCCCCAAACGAACCCCAAAAGACTCGGGGGGCCCCGGATATAACCCACAGATGAGCCCTGGAGGAGGCAATCGAACTGGAATCGAAATTGGGTTCCACTCAACACAGAATTCAAAATCGCCAGCGGGCCTCCCATGTCCCCGTGGCGCCCCCGGAGGCCCCCATGAAGTGACCAGGAGTCCAGGCCAATCGCCCAATAGGCCCCCGAGGGCCCCTCTGGAGACCCCACCTGACATCTAGCAGGCTTCGGACCCAAAGACCAAACACAATGGCGGACTTGGCCGAAAACCCATTCATAAGAGCAGAAACCAAATACGAACATCAATTTGTGATGGCGTAGTCGAGAAGCGTGTGGCAAAGTATGTTTTCTTTCAATAACCTTAACATAATATTCAGACGCTTCTTTGGGCAGTGCCGCCAACAGGGCCACGCGGGTAACATCTGCCACTCGGTCGGAAGAATTACGGGTGGACCCGCTGAACACCAAGCAATATATGAGCGTCTCCACATCCCATACCCACGAAGTAGCGAGGATATCGCTGCACATGGACTGCTTCTGCCTCGGGCAACCCGGCTCTTCCGAGCATGGATCAACCGCTCGCCCCGCGCGCCGGCAAGGGGGGCTGTGCGACCAGAGAGGGGCTACAGGGTCGCCCCCTGCCTGTCTGTCTGCCTGTCTGTCTGTTTGTCTGTCTGCCCGTATGTCTCTGTCTCTGTCTCTGTCTCTGTCTGTGCCTCTGTCTCTTTTTTTTATGTTTTCCTCTCTTTCTCCCGTGTATATATACAACTATGTGTTGCTTTCTCTATCACTGTCTCTCCCTCTCACTCTCTCTCTCTCTCTCTCTCTTCCTCTCCTTGCCTTCCTCTCTCTCCTCTTCCCCTCCCCGCTTCCTCCTCCACCGGCCCGTCGCCCAACCCCCTCGCCAAACTCCTCCTTCCGAACTCTACTTCCACCTCTTCTTGCCCCGCCGCACAGTCCCCCATGCCGCTGCGGGCGCAAGGGGTGATATTGCATCTCGAGGCGCCGTGTTGCCCATTCCACCTGCTGTCCAAGTCAACTGCGGCAGCACGCAAATCAGATAACAAGAGTTCCTCACCGCATTGCTGCCGACTCGATAGAGCGATGTGCGCCCGCCTCACAAGATTACATAGACCCCCGAAGAAACTGCTGGAAGGAGGCGCGATGGGAGCAAACGCCGTCGACATCGCACGCGCTTCTTCTGGACAAAGATGGGGGATCAAATCCGCGCGCCCGGGCGTCGGGCCAACGGCCCGCTTGTCACAGTTTCGCCAGAATGGCCGCGCTCAGTTTTCGTCGCCCTTGGCGGGGCGGCGCCTGGCCCAATACCCCTTCCGCATCGCGACCGCCTGCCCGCGCGAGGCGAATGCTTCGGCGAACGGCAGCAAACAACCTCCCCACGCCGAGGCCAAAGAAAATAATGCCCGAGGGTGGCATGACGAGGTCCGCCAAGGCATCCTGGCGAGCAGGATGGGGGGCGACGGGATGGCGGCCAACCCCTTCGCATGGAAGCAATGCCCCGCGCGCCTCCGCGCAGCGGACGGCACGGGAATGGCATATCCAGGCCAAGCCCCACGCGCAAGTAGAACGGCGTGCGGCACCGGAACTGTCATAGATATGCCCCCGGCGCTCTCGCTTGCCACCTGGGGGTCCACGCCCCACTCAGCCAGAATCTCAACTACTGGTTTCACGGCGCCGCCTGGCTCTGCGCCGCGCGATGAATGTAGCCGCTGCCGGAAAAACATTGTGCGCTGGCAGAAGAAGCCCCCTCCTCGAGCAGTCGTTGGAGGGATGGCTGCCACGGGCTCCAGGCGCGCAGCAGCGACCACGTCGAAAAACAACAACGGATCATCACAATAAGACGTGGACTGCCAAAACATTTTGACCCTACGGGAAGGGCCACTCAACAGCGACATCACCGTTGGTTGGACACGGGGCCTGCATAACATGAAACCGATAATCTTGTCATCGAGCAGGTCAAGCGCCTCATCCACCGGATCATGGAGACCTGCGTCCGACAACGCACGTCGAATGCTCGGGTCCAGCAGGAAATAAGGGGCCACGCGCTCAGGGTCGCGACGCCCCCAAGACAAGCCTAGGCTCCGAACTCGGGTTTTCGCGTGAATCCATATCAAGGTGTCTGGCATTGGGCCTGAATTGCTGCGGGCGGCGGCGGCGGCGAACCGCGGCGGCAGCAGACGGCGGCGGCGGCGGCAGAGGCCCTGCCTCCCGTCACACCCTCGCTACCCCTTCGTTCCGCCCATTCTCCTCCCCCCGTGCCCCCCTCCCCTGTTCGCCGCTCACCCTCCTTCGCTCCCTTCGTCCGCCCCTTCTCCTCCTCCTCCTCCTCCGCCCCGCTTCCCCTCTCCCACCCTGCTCTCCTCCGCCTGCTCTCTCCTCATTCTTTATTTCGCCCCCTGCTGATTGGGGGGCAGAGCTGGCTACGCCGCAGCCGCTTCAGAGGGCGTGCTACGCTCATCCCGCCTCCCCCGCCCATTGCCTTGCAGGGGCAGGCTTTAGTACCCCAAAGATCGCCGAAAGATCGCCCAAGAGGCCTCCAAGACGGCGACGATGACCATCAAGACGCCCACGTGTTCCCCGAAGGCTTTCCAAACCGATTCGGGGAACACATGGTCCGATGGCTTGGCAGGTCTGGCCTCAACGTTCGGCCACATAGGCGCTTCCACAAAGGCAGGGGGCGGCGGTGATTCGCCGTAGGCGTCTTCGAGGCCATCTTGGGCGTGTTGGAGGCCTCTTGGGCCGTCTTGGGGCCCTCTAGGGGCCATCTTGGAGGCCACTTGGGCCATCAGGGGGCTCTCTTGGGGGCCTCTTGGGCGATCTTGGGGGCTTCTTGGGTGCCTCCATGGGGCTCTCTTGGGTGCCGCCTCGGAGCGCCATCGGGGCGCTCCGAGGCTCCTGGCGCCGTTCGAGACGCCTCGACAGCCGTCCAAGGCTCTTGGAGGCCGTCCTGGGGGCGGCACGGGGCCGTCTTCTGGGGGCCTGGACATTGGCACCGACACCAGCACAGGGGGCTGCCTCCACGTGGGGAAGGTGATCCTAGGTTTCGGCGTCGGTGGTAATATTTCGGCCACCTTGGAAGCCAGAGTACAGTCGGGGCCCTGAAGAAGGAACCCTTTTGGTTGGGGAGGGGCTCCGCGTTCCTTAAGTGTTTCACAGCTTGCCTCAGGTTTTCCTCATGTTTTCGATCGGAAACCGAAGCTTAACTTATGGAACAAAAGGGGCCTCGTTCCTTGCTTAGGGTTCCTCAGGTCAACGCCCCGACTGTATGACCACCATCGCCGAGAGCGGGATCGCCCTCCCTCGGTGGAGGCACACCGCCGCTCCCGGTGTGGGCGTCGGCCTCCGGGCCCGCGGGTCTGGGAGCCGCCTTTTTCGGCGACGGCCTGAGCTCCGTCGGAGCGAGCCCGGGGCCCCCGATGGGGCCCCCCGGAGCGGGGAGGGCCCCCGAGACCGACGTTCATGAAAGGGCTAATGGGACACACAAGTGAGTACACACAGGTAGAGGTATCCCCCCATATCTCCTATAGTTTCTGGGTTTTGTCTTCCCCCCACTTTCCGTGTTTTCTCCCATATTTTCTGAGGGGTCGGCGATGAATTGTGTCTGTGTGTTTTCTTCTCTCCTGAGTTCAGAGGTAGCGGTCGTGGTCCCCGTGCGCGCCCGGTCCCTTGAGCAGGGACCGACCGTCCCGGCATTCCCATAGGCCTACCACGACATGTTCGTAGAACCCACGAATGTACCAAGAACCGGAACAATGTTCTTAGAACGTCAGCCCGATGGGATAAGACACGACAGTCTCAGCCAGAAACGTTCTAAGAACATTTCGCGGAAACCACAAGCTGTTCTTAGAACATTGTTTGGTAGGCCTGGAGGCG